TTTTGTTTACTTGATAAAAAATTATTATTTATGTGTGTTTGGTTAATTTTATCAACAGTTAACTTATTATTAAAGCAAAATAATAAAAAAAATGGATAAATAAAAAAGAATAATTAGATAAAAGAAAATAAATTATTAAAGAAGAGAGAGGTAGCTCCATAAATACATTAATAACTAATATTTTTTTTGTAAAAAAGTTGTCCAACTTGGCAAATTGGGGATCCTCCAAGTGCTTATGTGGCACGAGATTGGTTTTGAATTGTCATAATATATAGTATAGATATAGATATAGATAGATATAGATTATATAATAATTGGGGAGTCCGGGACATAATGAAGAGCAAGAGGAATAGTTGCAAAATAACATACCGATGCTAGAGTGAAATAAGCCCTCAATGTAGCTACATTCTAGACCTTTATCACCCGGTTAATGAATACAGCAACCCGTGCAGCCGACAGGAGGACTCTAAGACGCAGTTGTGGCCTTGAAGGAGGCGAGGTAGGAATCCAATTATCATGTAACACACTTACTATAAGCTTGGGCTGATTTGTCACCACAACCCTTGACATCAAAGCTCCATGCATCACACTCATCCAACCCCATGATGGGCTGGACCCGAAAGTCACTTCTAAGATAGTGTAACATCCCGATCCTTTTAACCAAACAAATATATGTAAAATCGTTGCTCCGGACCAAAGTAAAATTTCTTAAAAACCAAAAAAAAAAAGAAACAAAACTAAATAATTTCTTATAGTTCAAATGTAAAGCTCTAAATAGTTGGGTAACTTCAATCCATAAATCATAAAAAAACAAATTTTGAATCTCCAGTTTATACTCATAATCATGATGAAACAACTAAGCAGTTCCAGCTACAGCTTCTTACTGTGATCCTTCATGAGACATCTTTACTGATGATTATGTTGCTCGTCTCGCACTATCTCCTCTCGAGCTACTCATTCTCTAACCCTTCCTCTACCTGGTGAGTGGTGAGTGTGAAGGGTTAGTTTTCGCTGCTACAAAGAGCTCAACATTGTAATAAACTTAAATATTTTCCATTTACTTTGCGGGAGTTGTTCTTACTCCATTCCTTTAATGTTGCCCTTTAAAAGAATTTATGTGAGTTGGCATTACTCTCCACCATAACCTCAAAACTAGACCACTCCTTAACCTATGACCACCGCGTTCGTATCGTCGTCCGGTGTCTTAACCTCCTAGACAATGGCTCGTGTTTCGATTCGTCGTTCGGTGACATGCCTGATCAACTATTGCGTGTCGTACTGTCATCCAGTAGTGGTCTAACCACCCGAGGCTTCCTTTCCTTACGCATACTCATTCACACGCACACACACTCGCATACATATCATACACATCACATCACCTTCATTAGGCGGTGAGGTATCTCAAAATACAGATCACATCACCCTCAACTTCATTAGGTAGTGAGGTACCCCAAACTCATGTCCTCACCTTCAGTAGGCGGTGGGTTACGTCAACATACATCCATAGACCTCATACATTCTCAATTCTCTTAGTTCAAATGTCAAGGAAAAGGAATCCTCAACATACATCTGGAGTAATTATAGCTCGTAACTGAAAGTTTGAACTCATAAAACTTAGCCTTAAAACTCGTCATAGAATTTAGTCATTTACACTCACCTCGAAAAAGATGACTTCTCGATTCCTTACTCGAAGAAATCCCTCCTTCGTCGGATTACCTCGAAAAATCTATGAATCAGAAATTCCTTTTAGACGACCTTTCTAAGTCTAAACCCCTTTTGAATTTCTAGAACACCATCTCCTCAAAATCCAATCCTCGAACCTCTTTTCAAAGACCCCTTAACCTTCCTTAAAATTTTTCTAGAAATCATTCACACGCACACACACTCGCAAATTAAATCACAAGCACTTCAAGGACCTCTTTCAATTTACGAAATTTTTAAATGCAGAGGCTCGAAACAATTTAAAGAACTTAAATAACGTTTCTTGAAATTTCCTGCAACTTTAGTGACCAACCAAAAAATGTCACTAATATTCTGTTAAACTGTCCTAATTTCCAAAACTGCACCTTCATGAAAAATCACACGAAAAAATCAATTTACCTCGAAGCGGTTGAGTTCTCTTACCTCTAGAACGTGCCTAGGCTCATATTCAAAGACTTTGGAAATCGATTTGCCTTGATTGATACCGATTAAACTATGATTCCTTGTCGTCAAGCTACAGTCCACGATTGACGGGGTCGCTTTAGTTTCACTGATCAAACAAACTTGGAACGACTTGGAATTTTCGTCCTTACTTTTTCGAACAATAGCAATCGTTGCTGACGGCAAGAGCCTCGTCACCCGACTGATCGAGTGAAGCGGGGAGAGCGGAAGAGGCAGTTGCGCTGTACGCTTGCGAGGAAGAACGACGCTGCAGGAGTTTACAGTAGGGGATGTGACACGCCAAAACACAACACCAAACTGCGACCAAGTGTAATCGCAGTCCGGGAATGCAGTAACAGGCAAGTTATATTATCAACCCGGGGTCTAGATCTACTGCTTACTCCGTGATTCTCTATTATCTAGCAAACTAATTCGAGTGATTGTTGTTTAAAGCTAAAGCAGTAAGAAAGCAGTAAATGGTTCGGTTTTCAAAGTCAGGAAAGATTCACTCGGGATTGAGTCCCCCTAGCCCCTTAGTTAGGTTCAATTGTAATTCCCTGGGTTGATTTACTGTTGATTAGACTGCGAAAGTTCCAACAGTAGCTTGGAATCTCTTAAGCTGACCAAGCCCTCTCAGTCTAGCTACCCGGCAGACGACTAGTCTTCACCGGGATAGAAAGCTGAGGCTATGAACACAGAACTCCACTACTGGAATTGAATTCCAGTACAAAGCAGTAAACTGGCTAACTCTCGTATAGCCAATCTCCTACTATCGAATGAAGAAGCTCTAACAACCTAATCAGATTCTATCTATCTCAGGTTGCAGCAGAAATTGAGAAAAGCTGATCAGACTCAAATCAATTCAATAAACATGCATCATTCGATTAAAATCAAACAGTAATATCATCCCAAGTCATTACAATCAAATCCCTAACACAAGGAACTAGGGTTCTTCATACCCAAGTGAGAGAAGGGTTCTACTCCATAGAGAGAGAAGAGAAAACAGTAATCGGAGTAGTCATACTCATAATGATGAGGAAAATCTGCTCCGGGATGATGATTTCCACTCCTATGACGATCTCCAAGCTCGATTCGATGAAACCCAGCTCCAAGATAGCTTCTAGGATGTGTTCTTCGTACTTTCTCTCTCTAGGGCTCTGTTTTTTATCTGAAAATCCGATTCTCTCACTTTTGGCTCGGAATAGGCTCTAAAACCAGAATTTCCCGACTCGCACGGCCAGGCCACACGGCCGTGTGGCTCACCACTTTGTCCGTGCGAGTCGAAACGCGGCGTATGGATTAGTCGACCTTCAGCCATCTCACACGGCCAGGGTTGCACGGCCGTGTGAGAATTCCGGTCTGCCCGTGCTCGGCCTCGGCAGAAATCACACGGCCAGGGTGCTCAATGGCACGGCCGTGTGAAGGTTGTTTGTGCCCGTGCAGCTTCCTTGACACCTCGCCACGCGTCCGATCTTCGTCCAATCGACCCCATACTCGCTCCCAAGCCTCCATTCACGTACTAGGACCTGAAATATCACAAACAAGCACAACCTAGCGTGAAATCGGCCTAAAACACGAGAATCAACACCTCAAATGGTGTAAGAACGAGGGTAAAAACATGTGTAAATAACGGTCTATCAGGGTGCGTGGGGGTGGGGAATTGAGGGGGCCGCTCGGCCCCTTTATAATATATATGGCAAAGGCTAGCGTACGTCCGGACGTACCCTAGCCTACCGTACGCCTGTTGAGTTTTTCTATTTAGACAATGAATTAACTGGAGTTTGGGGCATGATACTATACCCTAACCCCTAATGGGTGAACCCCAATCCGCAATTCACTAATCCAAAGCATAATATTCATTTAATCTTGAAATGAAAATCAACGGTTCCGATTCGTCGAAATTATTGTTGATTTTCATTTTAAGATTAAACGAATTTCATGATTTGGGTTAGAAAACTAGGGACTGGGGTTTATCCATTAGTGGTTAGGGTATAGTATCATGCCCAAAACTCCGGTTAATTGATGATCTAAATAGCAAAACTTTAACGGGCGTACGGTAGTCTAACGTACGCCCGGGCATACGCTAGCCTAAACCTATATATATATATAGATCTTTAAGGGTTATAGTATAGTATCATCTCCGAAAGATCAGTCAATTCAAGTTCTGGATAGCATTTTCTTACTCAAGGTATGCGGTACCCCGGATTTCACCCTGGGTACTGTAGAATTCTCCATATATATATAATTAATTTATTATAATTATAGTTAGTTAACTACCATAATTATATTAAATGAAGGGGATTTTGGGGATTTCACGTAACTGTAAATACTGGGTGTTACAGATAGAGTTTGATTGTGCAAACTACATAGTATCATTCTCTGTACGATTGATCCAAAAGCTAAGAAGGACCTTGAAGAATCAGCCAGCTAATCTTAGCTAAGATGGCTTATTTGCTTGATTGAAAGCTACGAAGTCCCTGAACTCTAGCCCACCATCAAAATTGCTCATCTAAAGAGTCTACGAAGCTATCTAGTGAATACAATGTTTACCTTGGGTTTTCCCCCACCATAACCTAGCCATGTGGGAATTTGGTTTCCTTCATCAATTTAATCACAACAGAAAGCAACTCATAACATGAGTGGAAGAGAACCAACCATCGACTTGAGTAAGTCTCCTTTATTGTAGGCAAACGGGGCCTGATTCTTCCAACCTTGTAGCTTATTGATAAGCTCCTCTTCCACAAATCGGAAAGTATACGCTTGGAACTCCTGACTAGTAATGGCAAACCCAAATAACGATCCTGAACCCCTATAGCCCCCATTACCAACAAGGTGCCCATGCTTCTTTTTTGGGTAAATGACACATTTGGTCACTGAGATTATTAAATTGTGTCATGTTTAGTTCGAGTCAACCAGGCGTGACTAAAAAGGAACACGAACGAGAGCCAGAATATTGAAAATGATCAATACTTCCACTACACAACCAGTAGATGTCGAATAAGGTGTATTACAAAGATGGGACAAAATTGATGCTAATCTATCACAAAATACAGGATGTATGGATAGATTAGTCACAGGCCGCACACATCAATTCTCATGAGAAGGCATAGCAGAAGAAAGAATACCATCCAACAAACGTAGGAGAGCTGGAATGCTGTTAACCACACACCACTACGAAGCTCGATATCTCTGTGATCACCTAAACCTCTAGCAACAGCATTAGCCACCCAAAAATTCTAACCGTGATCTACATCACGGTTCACTGTGATAAAGGCATTTCTGGTTCTTCTAACAAGGGGTTATCCACTGTTTTTTTTAACCCCCAACATCATTCCTTTATTCCTTATAAACTCTATTTCTCTTTCCTAGTTAAGGACTCTCCCTTGTGTTCACTGCCTGCGGAGACCACAAAGCCTGCTCCAATCTGTGCACAGGTAGAGCGAAGTTTATTACTACCTGCACAACAAACTCAGTCACATGCACTCACACTCGAAACAGGAGCAGTTAGAAAATTACCTGACAGTCTTTTAGTACAACCCGCTCTTGGATCTGAACATTGCTGCAAACTATCGAACCTTGGATTGAACTGCCATCTCCGAGGGTAACATGGTCCATGACAACTGAATTAACAATCTACAGAAATAGCACAAGAGACGTTTTATATCAACTTTCAGAACAAGCTGATGGTTCTACTTCTTCTGCTCAAGCTTCACCAATGACCCTCTGCCTTACCTTAACATTGGAACCTATCCTACAGTGGCGACCAATAACAGAGCGCTTTACACTGCATTTGTCACCCATTAATGATCCTTCACCCAACATACAATGAGGCCCCACCTATGATTGCCAAAACAATCACATATCAAAAAGCAAGCATATCTAGTCTTCCACGATTTGAAAGATTTTGGTCACGGGTGAAATGCCACTTATCAATGAGTGTAAAAGCAAGGTTGCTTCTACATGTGACTTACAGTAGTCTTTGATCCCAGCTCTGATGAAGGATGTATGATGTTGTTATGAACAGAGAAGGAATATCCAGAGAGACGATTGGCTTCACCTATGACCTGACATTTTTTAAAGATAAAAATCTAATTTCTGAAATGATCAAGGAAATTTAGCAGTAAGCCATAGCTAGGTAACTGAAGAAGAGCTTCACAGCTATAAACACTCACATCACGGTTAATGTCACTGAATGCTTGAATGGAATTTAAGCGTGCACAATACTTGCTGTTGCTGGCAATATAAGCACAACATTTATGAGTTCTTTGTACTGTTGGAGATCCATTATGAATTGATTCATAAACTTCATGGAATCTTGGTGTAGAAGCGTTGGCCAATATTTGAGATATTATAGTTTGGTTGCTCTCAGAAGTGACCTTATCATGTCCATTTTCTTCTGCTTGTGGTGTACCATTCAGTAGAATCTCTGATTTCTGGATGTTCAGAGACAGTTGAAACAGTTCAATTCTTCATAACATCAATTAAAGGTTCATTGGAAATCTGATTAGGAATCAACAAACTAACCAGCTGGGTCCTAACAAGATAAGGTAGTACATCGTGTCTCAAGCTGTGAAAGTTTTGTTTTTGTTCTAAAACCTCCAGCAGAACAGCCCTGGAAGATATAAGGAGGGAAAATGAGAATTGCTATATTTGTTCAAACAAAATTTGTAGGACTGAGAAAGTGAAATGGACAAACCTCTTGAACGCGTACATATGGGCATCCATAAGATCGGCTTGTATATCCATCTATTAAGGGATTCACAGAAAAGATTGTTATAACCGAAACTGAAACAATAACCCTGCAAGTATTTACTTGCTTCTGAACATTCAGAGCATATGGTTTGGCAATCAAGAGAATAACTTCTTACTCCAACTAAAAGTGAGAATACTAACAGAAGACATAGGTTTGCACACCAACCAGCATTGAGAAGTTATCCAATGATCCATTGATGTGGCAAACAAACAGGCAAAGTACAATGAATTGAAACAAACAAAGCCGAGGATGGTTTCATAGTCACTCCATGTCAAACTAGGCCCATTATTACAACACTCGTAAGTTCTGTAGGCTTCTTAGTACAAGCATCACCATCTTGTCATTCGTAACAGAAAATGTTGGAAAAGGCTCACAAACGGATGGCTAGGTGTTTACCTGACCAACAGCACGAAGAATACTCTTGGGGATATGAAGATCTTTTTCAACTTCAGCTCCTGAGAAACAAATTTATAATAAAAAAGAATAAAGTGATGCACGATGGCAACAATAAGTAATAAAACAGGAAATAGCACATATATTTACCTGAGGCAATGTACAACAAAAATTGCTTTGTAGGGTCCAGCCCAATAATGTTGAATCGCCTGGGCTTCTTTATCTTGTCCTTAGCACCAACTGATCCAGATTCTACAGGCCCGCTGACTGGTGTAGAACAGATCATTGAAGTGACTACAGCGTCATGCCTTCTATGGGCAGCTGCAACAGCACCAGGAGGAACATCAGAAACAAGATCACCACTCACAACCTGCATACAAAGATGATAGCAATTTAGTTAACATTCTCCAATCCCTAAAAAGCTATTACTAGTACCGAGAGAACCGAATGCAAACCAAAATGTCCTTTGCTGTCAAGTGGCGTGCGATGGCCCGGAGAGCACCAGCAGTTCCAACATCCTCAGGAACTGCAGCAACCTGCATTCTCATATAACATCCTTCAAATGCTATAGACAAAAGAGAATCTTGTGCAGTTCTCATAAAGGGGAAAAGGAAGTTATATCATTGGCTTAGCATGCTAAAAAGGATGAACTGGTTCAGCAGAACAAAACAGGCAAAACATGTCATAGGCAACGTAAAGAATGAGTAGTGTGCCTTTGCGATGAGGAGAGGGGAAATATCATGTCAATGAACCAACTATTTGATTATCAGGCTGTACCGTTTTTGGTCATATAATCTTCTTCCTTTTTAATCATTGGATTAAAGAGTAAGAAGTGAATGAGATTTATGGATCTATCAACTGTCAAGATTATTCAAATAAGCAATATATAAGCAAGCAGGATACTGAGCATAGAAGGGATATGGTTTCAAATGACACATTTAAGCCATGCTTTATCAAGTTAGAACCGAAATGAAGAAAGTTCATCTGAGAAACCAAGTTATATCGACCAATGTTTTACGAAACCATCACTTTTAGGCCACCCACATAGGTACTGTTATCATTCTACCCGTAACGTCTTTTCGATTTCATCCAATGCAGAACCATGGAATTAGACAGGTACCTCAACATGCAGGCGGTCCACATAAGCTCCTGAAATCCATCCACCAACACGTAGAGCTGCATCTTCCCCTTCAACAACCTACGCTAACCCAGAAGATTATAAGAAAACGCTTGAAGAAAAGAAAGAAATTGGAATCCTGATACCCAAGACGAACCCACTAGTCCAACAACTCGTATTTCCTGTGAGAGCATCTTCTTTCGTCACGAAACAGAAACAAAGCAATCAAACACGGGAACCAGGGGGGAATTAGAAAACGAAAACAGAGAAAAGAAAGAAGGCCTACCACAATGAGATCCTTGAGGTTGCTGAGCTCTAATTGCTCTAGCACGTAAGATAGAACCGGGCGGTTGGCCACAGGGAGCAAAGGTTTTGGCACTTCCTGCATTCAACAAGAATACAACAAACAGACCCCAGAAGGTAACAAATTAGACGGAGGGGAAGCGGAACCAATTGATTGCCCCAACAGAAAAAGGTAAATGGAGACGAGCGTGGGTGATATTCTGGAGAAGAGTAATTTGGTGGTTTCTAGTTCATTTGATTGCAGAAAAATTGGAAAGTTACCTTGGAGACAAGAGGTACAAGTTCTTTCGAAGTTCCGCCGGCTAGCACGACGACTTGGAAATCCATTTTCTTGAGCAGAATTGGAAGATGGAGGAAGGGGAGAGTGGGGAAACGATGAAAATATGTAAAGAGGGTTTTGCTTTGGCCACTGTTACAGAGTGTGGGATTGGTGGGGGTTTCTGAGGATTCTGAATCTTCCAAAGCAGAAAGCGAGGAGGACTTCCCCTCCTTCAGCAATATTAGCAACGGGATTAATGCCCTTGGTTTAGATATTTAATCATGTTTTGATATAGTTTAAATGGTAGAGTGCCTAATTTGTACGTGGGAGGTACCAGGTTCAATTTCCTTCATTTTCATAATTTTTGATAAAGTGCTCTTTTGAAATAAAAATGTAATGTTAATATCTTATTTTGACATAAATTTTGCATTAAAAGAAGGGTTAATATTTTCGTATGGCCTGAACTTTGACCAAACTAAACATCCTGGCCAATCTTTTCGATCTATAACATCCTGGCCCAAACTATACACCAAAATAAACAATTTGGCCAAACCCGATATTTGACCGTTAACTTGGACAGTCAAACACGTTGACTAACGGTCAACGCGCCACGTCACTGCCAAGTCAGAAGATCTGATAAATATTTAATTTTTTTCGTTTTTTATTTTTGGTTTAACTAAGGTATTAGATGATTTTTTAAAAATTTATAATAATTTAAAATTAGGGAATGTGTGGAAATTGTGAATTATTTTAAATATTTTATGCTGACTTGGCAGTGACATGTCGCGTTGACTAACGGTCAACGCGTTTGACCGTCCAAGTTAACGGTCAAAAGTCGGATCTGGCCAAATTGTTTATTTTGGTGTATAGTTCGGGCCAGGATGTTATAGATCGAAAAGATTGGCCAGGATGTTTATTTTGGTCAAAGTTCAGGCCATACGAAACTATTAACCCTTAAAAGAATAGAATCTTAGTCCGAAATTTCAATAAAATTTGATCCAAATTTTAAGTTGACCATTAATACTTAATGGTTAACTATTTCCACCGTCACTGACTCAGCCAAAACTGCTGACGTGGCTTATGCATTGGCGCCACGTCATTGATAATTATTTATTCAACCTTCTTTCTTAATTTCGGAATTCAAGAAGCTTCTCTATATCAAGAACATTTCCTTCCACAACGAGAGTCTAAGAGCCAATTAGAGCTCATGGTACGGTGTAGCGATTCGTCTGGGGTACCCAGGAAGGATGCTACAACGTCGACTATATCGATTGGCCCTTCCCATAGGTCCGGGATTGTTTGATCGATTTCTGCAACTATCTTTATTTTTTGTATTATTCAAGAAAGGAGAAACCCCAAAAGAGTTCGACGTTGTACAATTCTGGTTTTTGGTCCGAATTTGAGAGGATTCTCGAATTAAGGTCATATCAGTCGGGGATGGAGTTAAAAATGGAGACCTTCATGGCAAGTGACTCATTGGAGTTTGTCATGGATAAATTTGAAAGAACATGCTCCAATATGCATTCCAACCCCTACCTCCTCCCGATTTGACGCTACAAGATAAGGTTGAGCAAGCTTGCGCACGCCTTCATCTCTTACCATTTGAAGCGGAAGAGGAGGTTAAAGACGCGATCAATGAAGATCATGTGGAGCAAGAGGAACTCATCCGGGAGAGCTTCTATGGTGAGGATGACCAAGAGTGTCTCATTGACGACTTTCACACCCTTCCCCATCCCAGACCAAGTCACAAAGGTGGTGGAGCAAGACTACCCTTTCAACGATCTTGCATGACGTCTTGCCCTCCAATTTTTACTTAAAGTAAAGGATGGGAAGGTGAGAGAAGGGGTTGAGGAGGAGGAGGAGGAGGAGGAAGTAAGCATCAAAGAGGAGAAATATTTTATTGTTCCCAAGGGGAGGAACAAATCTTGGAAGAAGGAAGGGAGGTTGAGGATGTAAATTGTGTCTAATCAATGGAAGATGCCGTGGTGGGTGAAACTTCTACAAGTTACAAGTGCCACCAAAGTTTTTCACCCGACCTTGATGCTCTACTCACAAAGGACCCGTTTGCGGTTTTTTGAAAAGCCAAGACCAAACCATCTTCAATCTCTCTTGGTGGATGCGATGGTGGTCAATCCATGATATCCTAGATGGTATGGGTCAAAGAGAAAAATGAATAAGGAAAGAAGAAGAGGTCTCATGGGTGGAGCCTCAAATCTAACCAAATTCACAAGTCATTACCATTACTTTTCACATAACATGCTCGTGACTTGAGACGCCACCTCGCCGATGAGAACCTCAACTTCAAGGAGGTTTTGGGATGGACCAAAACTTGAGCATCACCCTCCGACTGATCAAGTTAAAGAAAGCGCTTGTTGGAAGGCAACCCAGCCATCGTTTTGCATTCATTTCCCTTCAATAACACAACCTTTGTGGGCTTACGATGTTTTGGAAGTTGGAGCATAGTTGTGTATGCCCAAATTTAAAATATTTCAAGGCTCCAAGCACATGTGTGATATTATTATGATTGGGACAATCAACTTTTTAGGGTGTGGACTAATCCTATGCCTCCATCTTCCTCGCTAATGACAATGTGAATGTTACTCGTCATGGTAAGACAGATCTATCACACATGAAAAAATGATCGACAAAAATCTCACATGGCTACCTAGTCGCTGAATCATTCATTCCAATTTCAAAAAAATTGATGCATGGCAATTGCAATCAATGAGTACTCAAGTCAAGGCATCTATCGATTCGCGCACATATGAGAACTAAACAAATGCACCAACCTAATGCAATTCTCAATCATCATAATAGGATGAGCTCAATCGCAAGTAATCAATCCATAGTCAATGCCAATAAAAACAAGATTCTCCAACAACTGGCCACTTCGATCAACCGAAGCCTTCAATTAAGCTCCAAGATAACTCACTCTCTAGAGAACTCCTCTTTGGTGTTTTGTGTCAAAACCCTAGAGAGAACCAAGTTCTCCTCCAAAAACTAGCTCTCCTTTCTCTCTCCCAACTGCTGTCTTTTTATACAGCTCGAGAGTCAAGGTCACGAGCTGAATGTCACGACAGTGACATCGGACACTCAACAGTGATCGCAGAGGAAAACTCAGACGTTGGTTGCTGTTTTTGTCCAATGTCACGCCCTCTTCACAATTTTCACGGTCTAATGACCATGCCAATTTCTAGGCCCGAGAGGCGTGCAAAACCTTCTAATCACTTGCAGTTGTCACACTCTGGGATTATTTGTCACGACCTAGTGACCGTGACATTTACCCCCAGCCCGTGACTCTGGCCTTTCCTTCACTTTTTGGCACTTTTCAACCTCCAATCATCCTGAAACTCGTCTTCAACCTTCCCACGCGTACTATGACCTGAAATGAAACAAAAATAGCACAACCCAACGTAAAATAGGTCAAGGATGATGATTTACTAAGTCAAACGAATAATAAATGAGGGGTAAAATATGTGTAATTGAGCCTAAATCACGCCCCCGCACTTGAATGTTTGCTTGTCCCCAAGCAAACTAAGTACAAAACAAGGTAAGCTTACAACTTCTTTCTTGAAAACTTTGGGGCACATCATATGGGCACAAAACATGTGAATCACAACGGCTATTAGACATCAACATATGGACGACAACAACAACAACAATCTAACAACCACCACAAATAACATTTAAATGCAATAGGACTGTGGAAAGAAAGAATTCTCACCTTGTTCACAAACCAAAACATAACCTATAATGATGAGTCACCAATAACAGTTATCCATGCATAAATATCACGCCATAGGAGCCAATGACTGAGCAAACTAGGTCCTCACTGGGATACATGATATGAAAATGGAAATATGAATGAATGAATCACTCACTCTCGACTAGTGGGGTCAGGACCATTTGGTGCAAAAAGATATGCACAACTCAACACTCAGCCATATCATTTCTTCACCATGATGATAACCTCTAAATGCTAGAGTTCACAAGGATGGGTGTCGTCACTAGCTTGTCACGAGGTCTGAGACACGGGTTCAAATGACTAGCTAGGGTCTAGGACATGGGGAAAAGGCTATTTAGGTGGTGGCAAACATAGCATGAGGTTCCATATCTTCAACCTAAAACCAACACAAGGTTCTATGGTTTTGACTAGAACCTTCTTCTACAAGTAATGGCCACTAGCATTGGCCAAAAACCACACTTCCCTCAATTCCAAACCACAACCAATCACCAAACCATTCACAATAAACTTTCTTTGCTACACTTGCTATCAAACTTTTTAAGCACAAGAGTGAAGGAGGTAAACAAACATGTACACGTCTCAATAGCTTGCATGCCACGAAACACTCTTTAAGAGCAAAATCAACTTTTGTGGCAACTCTTTTTTTCTTCCTAGCCTTCTTATTTCTTTCTTTTTCCTTTTCTTTTCTTTTCACTTGTTGTGGGCTAGAAGAGAGCTAACCAAACATGCCATATTGATAACGTCGTATTTGCACATGTTTGCACCCTCGTTTCTTGATCATTTTGGCTTAAGTTTTTGATTTCTTGGACTATTTTATGCTAGGTTGTGTTCCTTTGTCATATTTTCAGGTCCTAGCATGTAAAGTGAAGCCTAGGCGCAAGTTTCAAGTCAATTGGCGACTCGGGGTGAGAACCTCGGGAATGAATTGAGGAAGAATGGATTTCTAACTCATTTTATTGACAAAGAATCATGAAAGGTTGTCATGAAAAGAAATAGGACGAGACTACGAGCATCTGGGATCAAACGGCACCTGAATCGGAGGTCAAACGAGATCAACGAAGCTTAGGAGTGCATGCTGGAAATTGTGCACTATTCTGCACGGCCGTGTGAGTTTTCCAGGGGGTTTTCACGCCCAAAACCTTAATTTGCACGGCTGTGCAAGTAGGGGGTGCGAGTTTCGGCGTGTATAAAAGCTGTTTTGCGATTTTTGGAGAGGGAGAGCTGGGTTTTGGATCCCAAACACCCAAGGGACGAACCAAAGAGAGAGAGGGTGATCTAGAGCCATTCTTGGAGCTATTTTGGAGGATCTCTTCACCATTGGAGCTCGAGAATCAAGCTTGGAGATGAAGATTGAAGATCTAGATCAGATTTCTGCAGTCTCTCTCTTCTCTATGGAGTAACTTCCCTTCACTTAGGTTTTGAGGAACCCTAGTTCCATATGTTAGGATCTTTCTTGTATGATGTTTTGGATGCTATATTGTGTGATTATAATTGATTGAGGCATGATTTATTGAG